ACAAACCGGTTTTGTAGAATCGAGTTAAGCCCAATCACACTATCTAACAAAAATATGTGTTCGAATTTCACTCTTTAACAAATGCCATTTTTTGCCATACAATTTTATTTTATTTTAAAGCATCTGAAAAGTGATATTTGTATGATGTATTAGAAAATCAATATTTGAACAAACTTTTTTGTACTGTGGGTGTTTTCAAGTGAACTTGACTTGCTGTATTTTGTATTGCGTCCAAATTTTACTATTATAATAATTGTGGGAGATTGAACAATAGTATTTCCTATCAAATATAATATCAATTACCATTAGATCAACTAAAAATTAGTCAAATTTACTATTTAAACAAGTGAAAGAATTTTTTTGAAAATTCATAGAAATTGAAAAAAAAATAAAAAAGTGTAATAAACACATTAAAAATTCTTTGAAATTCTCTCAATCTATTCTCATAAATATAAAATTTTATCATCATGTTTCTTAAAATATTTCTTGACAAAAATATCCTATAAAAAACTCTTCACTTAAAATATTGAAACTTAAATCAATTCAAATTAAAAACACAATTTAAAAAAAAATATATATACTAAATTGGATATGGATTTTTTTCCCATCCAAACTGAACCGAATAATATAATATATATTTGAATTAATCTAAACCGTACCACAAAGCTTAAACTTTAAATTTCACGTTTTTAAGTCATTATTTCGTTAAATCGTAGGTGAAAGTCTTTTTATGTAAAATCGTATTCTTAGACGATTTTAAATGATTTGAATCGCTCTGAAATCAGTGAAATCGTGTAAAATCGTTGAATTTTACTCTTTAACCCGATTTTACGTTTTTGTCAAATATTAAAAAAATACATTTTATATTTTTTTCCCATAAAAATTTCTTTCATGTTTTTAAATTTTATTCACATTCATATCTTAGTTATTGATCTTACCGGTTGATCAAAACATGCAAGGTGGTCGAATGATGATTTTCAGACTGGCTGAAAAATTGAGGAAGAAAAAGGAGGATTGTACCTGCAAGGCACTCCGACGATCAAGTAAGTATGAGAGCAAAAAGATACAAACAAAGTGTTAAGATTTTAGTGATGAATAATGAATATTCGATACCTGGCCAATACATGAGTGATGATTTATATAGTGTCTTAGGCGCTTGGCCATTGGTTCCTATTTTTGGGTCTGGATATACTGGTCCGTAAAAATAGCTAACTATCAGGACTTGGTCAAACCAAGCAGATGTGCCCACAACTATCCGTTAGTTCCGAAGAGGAGGTATGTTACGGGCAGTGGTCTGGTCGATTCCTGATTGTCTGGTCGATTGAGATCGGGCAGACTGAGAGACGCTCGTCGACTGTCTCAGACCAGTGTTGATCCAAGAGAGCAATTGATCGATGGTGCCCGATGGAGGGCAGGGGAGACCGGACCGTGGTCGCACGGGCCTTACTGAAGGAGGGAGTCAGACTGAGCCCCCTCTAGCCGTTAGGCCAATCCATAACAGTTACAGTATTGAAGAATCTTTATCATTTAGATATAAATTTAATCAAGTTGAATATAAATACACTAATGAAAATGATCTTGTAAATAAGTTGAACTTTTGATTAAGTTAAAAATGAAGATGAAAACACTTGTTTCTTTAAACTTGAGAAACTTATAAAAAATTTATTTTTTGTGACAATTTTTTAGATGTTATTTTTTATGATTTGGTGGATAATTTAAATAGTTTAATATAAATTTGTAAGTATTACACTTTATTATAACGATACAAAAAAAATATATATATATATATATATATATATATATATATATATATATATATATATATATATATATATATATATATATATATATATATATATATATATATATATATATATATATATCCCCTTAACATTTTTATTTGAAGGTCGATAAAAATTTTAAATAACTATAAGTAAAATAAAATATACTTAAAAGAACCAAACACTCATTTAACCTAAAATAAATTCCATATATTTTTAAATCAAATCTAATAGAACCAAATTAGTGGTTGTTGTAATTATTTAGCACTGGATGTAGAAGTAAGACAACTAGTTGCTTATCTTCAAAGAAATTATTTGTTGTTATGATTATTTGATCAAGTGCTTTTAAGTGCTTTTACATGCTTCAATTGATTTTGTTTTGCAACTTGCCATTTAAAGATTGTGAATTAGGACATGTACAATTTAAGTTTGAAAATAAAAGGACAAAGATTAATGTTAACACATTCAAAATCCATCCCTTTGCTATATACTAATGATTGATCTTATAGGACAGTGCATAAACAAATTTCTGCAGCCCAGAAAAAAAATGATGGGAAAGATGAGAGGTTTAGAAGGTTATAAAGGATTTTCAAATTCTAAAATTTGAACACTTAGCAGAATGTTCTGAATTTTAAAACCCATAAGAAGATTTTTGGGGTTTTCAAGAAATTTCAGGGGGTAAGAAAAGAAAATCTCATGATCCTTTCTTGTTAAAAGTCCATATACTTGATTCAAGCCTAGGTAGTAAGTAGAAAGTTACTAAACAACTTTCATGCCTAATGGGCAGTGTTTGCCAAAATTCCGTCATACCGGCCGCTTTGTGGCGCTATTATAGCGAATTAAGGCAAAAAAAACCCGTAATATCAACTTATATTTACCATTGCGGCAAGCCCAAAAACCGTCATGTACCGCAATAGCGATAATGGCGCTGCAATTTGAAAACACTGCAGATAAGCATAAAAAAAAAGATACATTCAAGACAAGAATCACAACAAAACACTTGAATTTTGAAAACACCCAATCAAACGGATAAAACAATAGATGGAGCAAATAACATGTAATTCAAATAAATGACGTTCCATCACAAATTTCATAACAAAATCAAATTTTCTTGCACAAGTGCAGGGGCAGGCAAATTTTGTAGTTCTCTACCTTATCCCCTCCATTATCGAAGCCACCCAGCTTGACAAGTTTTTCTACAATTATATCACAACTTAAGAAGCCACCCAGCTTGACAAGTTTTTCTACAATTATATCACAACTTAAGATGCATGATGCAGTGTACGACGCGATTAGTTAAATCATATCAGAAGTTGAACTCAAATAAAGAATCTAATCATCAAAATTGAAATTGACAGAGATAGCAAAATATTCACCGTGCATCATAATTTCATAACCAATATTGAACATGTATTTTATATTTATGCAAGAGCAAGAACTAGCTTGCAAACTCTGCACGGAACTCATAGTGAATGAATTAAACTTCCAACCCAACAGCAAAATACAACATACATTATTTTAAAATGAAAATCCAATGACCTTCATAACCACATTCATAGCTACCAAAATATACCAATCTGAAAAGTTACATTGTATAGAGAAACTAAACTTTATCCTATGCTTCTCCAGAACCTGCTTTTCAAAATTTCTGCCAAAACGCTGGAGACGATGCTTTGTCGATCATGAAAACATTCTTCAGTAGCCCACACCTAACCACAAAGTAGTAACATCTAAAATATTCAAAATCACAATACAAGATATAAGAATTTAGTGAAGATATACTATTCAAATTTCCGTACAGAAATTTTCAGACTTGATGGCTAGCACAAATAAGCAAGATATAATAAGTGTAAGGCCTCAATTCAGCCTTCAACTTCAAATACAAATCGCTCTTACATAGTCCCTAGACTAAATAAAAATAATTAGTCTCCAATATTTCATTAGTAGTCAGTCAAGTTTTGGTAAATCCCTGTCAGGTTAGTCCTAAGATCGTGTCAACTGTCAATTTCTAAGGGTATGGACTAACATGAAAAATTTATCATATAAACAATTATAAAACATTAGAGAGTAGTATTTATTATTTTCAAATCCCATGGGACTGACTAACTAGGAGAAAGACTGACAACCCTAGCACAAAAGACATTTCATATTGAAGTTATGTCAAGTGTCCGACATATGTGGTTACATTTTCTCAAGTTATTATCGGTGTCTATTGTCCAACATATGTTGTTACATTTTCTCAAATTATGATCGGTATCTAGTGTTTGTGCCTATGTGCTTCATAGATGATAACTAAAATAAGGATTTAGTCAATATGTACAATCAGTAAGTGTGTTAGAACGACTTTCCCACACCAACACATGTAGCATATGTTTGGAATCAAGTTACAAACCACAATATCGTGGAATCCCGCTTCCTAATGCAAAAAAACATGAAAATAACAAAGCAACTATTTAGAGCTTTTGTGCTGATGCGGTTTCCTACTGTAATTTTGATCAAATTGACAGGCACCCAAACATATATGTAGTTACAACTTACAACAACTCACTTCGATAATTTGAAATTTATTATCAGCATATACACGTTAAGTTATTATGGAAGTGAGTTATTGTAGCTACGCATATGTTTTGATGCCCCCATCAAGTTCATCAAAATTGCAATAGAAAACCACATCAAATATATGTAAGTGTAGAGTCTAGTGTGAGAACTTCATAGGTGATGACTAAACTTGGGGCTTACTCAATACGTCTAATAGACAGTGTTAGAAAATTGAAACATTTAGGCTTTCGTATTGGCTACCCCAAATTTCAATACATAATATCAAGTGTACCGGCACTATACCAGTTTTTTAACAACAATAAAACACTTGCCTATTTCGGGTTTACTGAATATGTATAATCAATAGTCTCCCACACTTATTCGAACGAAACTAACACATGTGATTACAATAACCCATATTATTACCAGCATCTACCCATTACCATATTCTCATATTATTAACCGTTTCTCCTCATTTCCATATACTCTTATTATTACCCATGTCTACGTGTGTCAGAGTTTCATAAGTGATATAACTAAACACAGGGATTACTCAACATAAAAAATGAGTAGTTATATATAAAATCCAATCCAATCCAATCAAAATGAAAACAATATAGAATTGAAAAGTTGAAATTAAGAAAAGGAATGCAAAGTGATGATATACCCGTGGGTGTAATTCTAAACAGGAACAGTGAGGAGACTAGCAAGTGTTCCCAAAACAGCAAAAGCAAGAAGAGGACTAATATCAAGAGTATCAAAAACAGGAGGAACAATATTCCTAAACAAACTAAGATAAGGATCACAAAGATCCCTAATTGCAGAAAGTGGCTGTCTTTCCCACGGAATATTCGGGAACCAACTCAACAAAACCCTAACCAACAAAACACCGCTGTAAATATCCAACCATTTCTTCAACCCCGCCGCTACAACCGTCAACGGCGTGTTCAACGAGCCCTGCGTACTCCTCTTCATTAAAGAAGCAAAGAACAGCGACGACGACGAAGTTCCGATCGATAAACATAGATGCGGTGGTGGAAGAATTTTAACAAAAGCTTTGGTACATAAAGCCGCGATTCCGAATAGCGTGGTTACAGTTCGAGTGGAACCCGAGAGAGTAAGGGTGTTATCGTCGTTGATCGGAGTTTGCGGTGGCGGTGCTGCGGCAGTTACGGTGGTTTTGCGATTGGTTGAAATTGAAAAGGTTTTAGTTTGGCGTTTGTTTGGTTGAAAAGCGAGAAGACGAGAAGAGGTTGAGAAGTGTGAAGTTAGGGTCATGCCCATGCCCATACCAATTGTTGCTGCCATGGACGCCATTGTTGGTAGTGAGTTCTCGAAACAATTTTTAGGGATTAGGCGTTTTTATCGCTTCTCCAAACTCTAAACTTTATACTCTCTACGTATCATTTTTACTTCAATATTTGTTGGCCTCAAATTATTATTATTTTTTTTTAAATATTAATGTATTATTTGTTAAATGAAAATATGTATGTAAACAAAATTAAGAGTGTGTTTGTTTCATGGTTGAAAATTTTATTCCTTAGAATGATATTTTTAAGATTATTATTCTTGGAAATATTATTCAAATCCATGTGTTTGGTAAGAATTTAGGTTCTTAAGAATAATTATAAAATTTGTTTAATTTTAAATTATAAAAAAAAATAGTAAATAGGAGTGATAATGAGAAGTTAGAGTTAATTGAATTTATTTCCATAGAATGATTTATTCCTACCCTTTATGCCTTTGAATAAGAATAAAGAATCCATGAATAAATAATATTCTTTAGAATAAAAAATTCTTTTGAATGATTTTTTAAAACTTGAATCAAACATGAGAATATTGCATTCCTAATCTCACATTCCCAGAAATAATTTTTATAACCTTGAAACAAACACACCCTAGATATCTATAACTCAAGAGTCCAAGAGCATTTAGATGAGATAATGTGAGTCTTTTTCGATTTAACTTGAATTTTGATTCTTATAAAATTATTAAATTTTGTTTTTATCCATATTTAAAAGATAACATGTTTTTATCTACATAAAATGAATATACACGTTGATTTAGTCTTGTCGTTAAATCAATGTTTATTTTGTAAATATATTTAAAATGTTATAAAAAAAATTTAAAAAAAAATAAACTTGAAATTTAATTTCTAAATTGAAATTTTCATTATTTTTATTATTATCTTTTGAAATTTTGAAAAATTTATATTTAATTCTTCTCATTTAAAATTAAATTAAATTTGATAAAATAAATTTTTTATAATATTTTAAACATGTATTTTCAAAAACTTAAAATTTTAACGATAATTAAACAATTTTTAAAATTTTAGAAAATAATAGAGATGAAATTGAATACATACAATTTTTATAAAGATCAAAATATAATATTTTTTATAAAGTTAAAAAATAAAATTTAAGATATTTATAGGGACCAAAACATATTTAACCTTTATTTTATTATATGATTTTATTATTTATTTTTGATAATTTAAAATATTTATTATTTATATTTAATAAATATAAAATTCAAGGAATGCTATCAATGTTTTTAAATTTTTATTTATAATTATTATTAATAATATTTAAAGTTCTTATGTATGAAATTTTAAAGATTTTTTTTTGTTTTTTTATTTGTAATATAATTTGATTTTTTTAAATAAATATTTTTATTAAAAAATTAATTTCACTAAATGAATGGTGGCATAATGAAATATTATAATGCAACCTAATTCGTTTGGGAAACATTTGAGTTTTAATTTTACATCTTATAAAGGATCAAAATGGAGAACAAAAATCGTTTGGAGATTCAGTTTCAAATTTGAGGAGGTAAAAAATTAGGGACCCGCCCCGTTGTCATGCCTAATTGAAAACTTTATTAACTTTATTATTTATAATAAAATTAGAATTCCAACGATATTCTACATTATCCTGTGCATTCATTGATAATTAACTATATCAACAAACAATAATCACAAGGAGCTCTCTAAGATTTGCTCAAGAACATGAGCATTTTCTTCTGCTCAAAACCTGGTTATAGTTTCCTTCACCTAGTGTGTTTCCCTGTTTTAACATGTTCTCATTCAACCTTAGTGTATGTGAGTGCTCTATTGTAGATCTATATGCTTGCAGGTAACAACTAAGTTTTGATGACAACGTGTCTACAAACATGAAGTACTCAAAGTCAACTGACAACAACATAAAGTATTCAAAGTCAATTAACAACACAACAGGAGTCCTAAAAGTCTCTTCAAAAAGAAAGATATGGAAGTTCACCATGTCTTGTCAGTCTGTCTGAGTGAATCAAGTATTGTAAAAATAAAATAGTAACTTAACAACACTAAGACACATTAAAAACTTTTTCCAAAAAGACAAAAACATTTAAAATGAATTAGAAGTTGTGCTAAATAACTTAGGAACACTAGAAATGACTAGAGGGAACATTTTGTCTAAATTAATCGATTATAAAATATCAAACTTACGCTCCAAGATATTTCTACAACTCCTAAACGATTGGCAACATATCTATATCACAATATTCCATTTTGAGAATCATAACGAGCACATTCATTTAAACTTATCAATTAGATCAATCGGTTAAATAGTTAATGAGACCCATGAATTATTTCCTTATTGAGTGATTTTAACTACTATATAAAGGGGTAACTTCCTCCTTTAAAATCACGTCAATTTTCAACATTTTCATATTTGTTTGGAATTTATCTCTCTAAGTTCTCCCCTTCTCTGTCTATAAATTTTCTTTCTTCACTTTTGGTTGCCTTAGTGTTTTAGAGTGAAACTTTATTTGTGAGGAGAATATTATTTTGTAAGTGGTCGTGATGGTCATTTATAGTCTTAAGGGTGCGATACCTTTAAGAGATCGAGTTTTTATTCTTGAGATAAACCATAAATCTATATTCTTGATTTATTAAGCTTAGCCGAGAAAAAAAGTTATGTTTTGGTTAAAGAGATCAACCACAAATCTGTAATAGTCTCAATAGAATAAGATTGGGATAAAAGCTGTATATAGGTTGGGAAAAAGCTTGTTCATATTAAAAGATCAGATTGTATTAAGGTTTATGGGCATAACCGATAAAAGCTCACTAGTCTATAGTGAAAAATCTGAAGACGACCTCTTGGAGACAGGACTAAGCCAACATTCAGTTAAACCTGGATAACTCTCTGGTGCAATCTTTCTATCCTTACTGTGATACGGTAGCAGAACTGACTGTTAATACTGGTTTGCATTTTTTGTTCGCAAATGTCGCGGTAAGCAAGAGTCGCCACCGTCTTTTATTTTATCCAACAAAGAAAAAGGGAAAAAGAACAGAAAAAACCTTTTTCGAGATGTTTCTCAGTACGGGGGGTAGATTATAGAAAGGGAAGGTGTTAGCACCCTTTCTATCCATGGTTTTCCATGGGCTCTTAGGTACTTACTCATTTTGAAATTGCTTTTGTGTGTGGTTTGAAAAGCTTTGAAAATGCCTTAGTGCGGCATTTCACTTTATGGTAACTCTTGTATCAGTCCTCAAGAGTGTGATAAAGTGTTTTTGAAAACTTTTGTTTGAAAAGTATGTTTGAAAGTGTGAAAAAAAACTTGTTGTTTTGAGTAAGTACTTAAGAATTTCTACCTACTCGAAAAAGACTGTTCGTTTTCTTATTTCCTTTAGATAGTGCTATCCTACTATTAAGGAGTAGGTAGCTCCACCGTTGGAGTTTGAGGGACCACCGAAAGGGACGATTACGGTCACTTAAGGCAATAGGGCAAGATCTCTTAGTAACTGTCCTAAAGTTCTAAGATCATATTTTGTTTTACCGAGGCAACCGTCGAAAGGGACTTGCAATCTCTAAATTAAATGACAGTCACTAAGAATTCTCATGTTTGAGAATAGTGACTGTATTTCCGAGACAACCGAAGTGGGAGATACCCTAGGGGTAAGTATGTGCAAGTGTTAGATTTCAGTTTATTTATCTTTGCACATTTAGGGTGTTCTACTATTTTAATCATTTAACCATTCCATTCAATCCTATGATCATTCATCTAACAGTTAATAGTAGAAACAAAAAAAAAACGAGAATCTTAATCCTAGCTATTACAAGGTTTTGGAGAGGGGGTTACATATCCAAACTTGGGATTCAACAGTAAATAAAAGCAGTAAAATAAATCCTAGTTAAAAACTATTACAAACCCGTAATCAGATACAATAATTGGAAAAATAAATAAGTAAGCGCGTGCGATACATGACACGGGAATAAATTAAATATCCTATAGAATCTAATTAATTAAAGAAAATATTTTTTGTATTTTTATTTAAGAAAATAAAGTAAAATTGAATTTTGAAAATTAGTCCTAATTTCTAATTAATTTTAATTAAGGAAAACAAATCAAGTTACCCTAATTAAATTAATTTATTTTTAAACAAAATTAATTTTAATAAAAGGAAAACTAATTCTAATTTTTTTTTGTGATTTCTTGATTTTATGATTTAATTAAGAAAATGATGTTTAAAGACAAATAAAATAAATAATTAAAACAATAAATGAAAATAATAAAAAAAATTAAAGCAAAAAATAAAATGGGCCTGCTAGGAGTAGAAATCTGGGGGGTGCAACTGGTTTTGTATTAAGCACATCTTTTGCTGAGCCCAATTGATTTGTTTGGATTCAGTGGGGGCTGCGCTTGAAGGTGCACCATGGAACCTGTTTGTGGGATGCTGAATCTGCTTTGAGGATAAATCTAATGACCAGACCTTAGGCTATAGGATGGACGCGCTGAAGGATAATGCACTGAATCCTGCAGAAAATGTTAAGAAAATATAAAATGCCTGGACCTGGATTCAAACCCAGGTCATGCACTTCACACGCCTTGTCCTTTGCCATCTGTGCTGGTTAGTCATTCATATACATAATTAAACATAATAAATATAAGGTAAACAAAGCACTATGTCCAGCTGTCATACGCGCGCCTTTTTTTGGGTCCCTTCTGTTTGAATGAGCCAATCAACAAGCTTTCTCCAACCACGCCATCATCTTCTCCAACAGTTTGTTATTTTAGACCAAAAACTTTTACCTACAGTCCAATCCGTCACTATAGGCTATAGTGACAGTTTTTGATTGTAGCTACAAACATGCAAAACTCTAAAACACAATTCAAGCAAAATAAATCCCATCCAAAGACATGGGTCGACTGTAAATCATCCCCTGAATACGAAGAGGCCCTTAATTTGGCCCAATTTCGCCTCTAGCTAGGGTTCCCCAATTTGAAGCTTTGGAACCCTAACTATGGCAAACGACTGTACCTCCACTCAAACTCCA